CCCCACCCTACAGGAGCATCTTTCAGACAACTGAAATTTGGCAGTGCTTTTTGTTCTTTTTCTGCTCCCTGGTGGCATTTAATTCTGCARTTTTCACTGGTAGGGGTAGACATGTCTGCACTGGAATTTGCATTCCCTGGTCATCATTGCAGATGCAACTTCTTCCCTGCTTACAGAGCTTGGGGATAAGGCTGGGAATTTATATGCTGATCCTACAAGAGGGAAGTGGGGGAATAATGAGGCTCTAGCTCAATTCTAGCTCATGGCACCTCTCAGCTTGTTGTCTGCCTCATTTGCACTTAGTTTTTGTTTCCCACAGGAGCACAACACACAACTTCTTGAGAAATTTTCTTCTTATTCCAATGTGTTTACTGCTGCTAAATGGAGTCATCCTAACATCATAATGTTCCCAGTATTCCCCATTTCTGGCTGCCCTCAGCAGCATGATGCTTCCCTCCACAGGTGCAAGCATACAGACAGAGGTTGGCTCACCCTGCCTGCACTCACCTCTGCTTTTCCATACAGAGAGACTTCTCCATTGGCACAGCACAGTGATTTCCTTCTTTCTGTGATCCGAGTGACTGGCTGCATGTGATACAACAGGGCTGGAAGGGGAAAGGAGRCATGGCTTTGGGCTAGAGCTGGACACTCGCTATGCTGGGGGAAACCTGTTCTCAGAAGGTCCCTGGAAAGTTCCCTCCTGTCTCATGGTCTGTTGAGACACTGCCTAACAAGCTGGGGAAGGATGTGCTTGGGATACAAAGGGCTGCTCCCATGGTACAGCCAAGCATAAGAAGTCAGGCCCCTGATTCAGTGCTAGGCCAGCTACTTGCTGTGGAGATTGGGTAAGATACTGCCCCGCATGTACAAAGTGAGATGTCTGGCCTCACCTTCCTCTCAGACTTGTCAGAGGCCTGATTCATTTGTGCTTACAAAGCACAATGAATCTTGCAGGCAGAGAAGGCAAAAAGAGGTAGGAAGGTAGTAAATCAGGAGTGCCCAGGAACATTCTCCTAGACACATCCTGTAAACTAGCACCAAATGGCTCACATCCATATYATTAAACTCTCTTCACTTCTGAAACCATGACCTCATGAAGAAGTCCACTGGGAAAGGTCCCCTGCTTGTAACTCCCAAATCATGCTCRGAAATTATGTGTCACAGTCCTAGTGGGACCAAATCAAACCATGCCAGGGGTATGCTGACACTTAAATCTGATGATTKAGTTTGTATTCTAGAAACGTTTCCTGATGTTGCTTAATTTACTAGTAAAGACCTAATTACTAGTGAAGACTTAATGTCTGTTCTATTAAATTACCCTCAAAGTCAGCACTGCCCTGATAAAAATCAACAAATGTCCCTAAACCTTCCTGAAAACTTCAATTCCTCAGTCATTACCTTCCCATCTCCTCAATAAATGTGGAAAATAATATTAAATAATCAATTTGTTATCACTTAATCAGGTAATACGAAAAAGCCGGCAGAGAAAAAGCCAAGAACAAATCATGTAAACTGTTTAGCTTTCTTTGTCACAGTAATTGGAATAGTATAGATAGCAAGCCCAACAATCCAGGCTGTCCTGAAGTGTAGTAAGGCTTTTCGAAACATATTTTTCACAGGTATGCACTCTGAAACTAGTTATCAGTAGTKTGCCATCAGACCAGGAGGACTTACAGAGAACAGATCCAGCAACTGGTTTCCCCAGTGACTTGTATATTCAAATACAGTGTTTATAAAATGCATTGGCCATGAGTCTGGAAGATCATGCAAGACTGAAGCCATGATAAGAAAAAAAAAAGATTTTGGCAAATTGGAGAAATAGCTCACAATCAGCCAGCTAAAATTCCATAAAACTGGTGCAAAATACTGAACTGAGAAGGGGAATAAATTAAATGCACCAATAAAGAAATGGAGAACACCTATCTAGACCTCAGCACTGAGRAAAGTTATTGAGTAATTACAGGACTGTGAACCAAATATGAATTGCCATTGTGAAAGTATTGCATTAAAAGACAGATTTCCTTCTTGGCTGCATTACTATAAGACAAAGAGGGCAATTTTTTGCTTGCTCAATACCCCCAAGTTAGAGAGGATTAGTCTAGGTTTGGCTGGTGAAAGGCAACAAACMGTGTAAGAGGTGCAAAATGCAAAGGGTTGAAAGAAGAGGATTGAGTCTAGCAGGAAGAAAACAGAAGAGGAAATACGATAATGAACCTCAAATATATGAGGCTGTTAGATGCTGATCAATTGTTCACACGTGTGTGCTGAGAATAGGTCAAGATGCAACAAACTCAATCAGGTTACAAAGAGGAGGCAAATCTTCCCATCTATCAGTGTAACGAGCAGTGTAACAGGTACTGAGGAGGTGGCAGCATCCCTGCTGTGTTAGCACAGGTAAGGCAAACACCTGCTTGGGTGGCATCAGTGTATCTGATCCTGCCTATGGGCTCATAGGTGCAGTGTCTTCTGAATGTTCCTTCGAGATTACCCTTGCATATTTTTAGTTTCTAACACCACTTTGTCACTCATTTTGGCTGCTAGGGTGCAGTAGAGACAGCCTAATCAGAGCAGGGTCTGACCAGGACTGTATTCAGTCTTATTATTGGATATGTTATTTGGTGTTCACCTGTACGTCATCATATCCTCCYACAGGCTTTCTGTTAGACCATCCCATTCCAGAGCTTACTAAAAGCTATTCCATTCTTTTCCTCCTACCCTTCTGTGTTCCTTAATGTGACTGCTCTCAAAGCTAAAAATTTTTTATTTCAGCTTAGATATGCATGTTGACAGTCATGGCAGCTGCTTGATATGGAGTAATTCAAATTCATACTCATGTCCATGGATATCCTAAAACACAGAAACTGATGTCATTGCTTGTAAATAACTTCCAGATCTGTTCCTCAGGTTTCAAGTAGGAAAATATAAATTTGGAAAAAACGGTTTTTCTTTCTTGCATTAGTATGTAGATGACATGAATGGCATTACACAGGAAATAAAGATGTGACAAGGAAGGATGAAGAGAAGGTGTCAGCTGAGGGCAGAAACAGGAGACACAAGATCAGGTAACAGGCATAATAAAGTTATCAGCTTGATGGATCCAGAGTGCCAGGAAGAGTAATATGTGAATTTAAAACTGCTGCTTCCAATGGTGGTTTACTTGGGAGGGAGGAACGAGTTCCCCTTTTCTGTCTTCTCTAAAGATGTGACAACAAAGGTCACAATCACCTGCCCACAAAATGGTGTATGTTTGTCTCTCTGTGGAGAAGCGCATGTGAGAATTGACAAGCCTCCCCTGAATCAATACTCACCTTTGTAAAGGAGAAAATGCTTTCTGCTGAACTGACGGCTATTTCAGCCCATTGCAAACCATAACAGATGGGTTTCTTCAAACTTCTATGCATTTTTAGATTGTATTTACACTCACTAACCAAGTCTTCTGTCTAAGAGGGGAAAAAATAACATTCTCCCACCCACTTTTTCATTTTCTCCCTCCTCCTGATGCTGTGCTTCCCCAGGGCTGCTGGCTGAGTCCTACTCAGCTTCTTTACTGCTTTCTGATTGAGCTGCTTCTGCTTGGAAAGCAGTTATGTCACAGTGTCTCACCTTGGAGGTGGGAGTTCTGGCCCCTTTGGGTCCAGAAGTACACGCTCTGTAACAGACTCAAGTACCACACCRGGAAGCAGAAAATACAGCTATCCCTCATTTTCTCCAGACATAAAATGAGAGTGATGCTGTTACCAATACACACCACTTCACATAGTAAAAATGAAGGAAGGGGAGGCGTGTTTGAAAGAAAAATGAAACACACTAATTAGGTATCAGTATTATCACTCCTTCTATGACACATATCTGCAGTCCTGCCATTCTAGCAAAATTTCAGTCACCAGAGGGTATTTAGTCAAAATTAAAATCCAGTCTGTGTCTAATAAATGCTGATGCTACCCAGACTTCTATTCTTTTTGCCAGCAAATAGCTCTGCTGCTGTCATGTAGCAGCCATGTCCTACCCTGAAGTCAGATCAATTTCAGTGGTGCTCCTTGTTTTTCTTTTCTTTGTTTAATAYAAGATAGTAGTGTTTCATAAAATGATTTCTTGGGTCACAACAAGAACTCTCATGCATATGTAACATTGTGATTAGCATCTTGCAACAAACTGGCTGGCGTGCAGGAAGTGCTATCTCCGGTAGATCACAGAGCMAGCTTTTCCTCAGTTTCTTTAGCGTAAGGCTAGTGGCTGAATAGGAAATCCCAAGGACAATCTGAATAACAGAGTCACAGAATCAATTAGGTTGGAAAAGACCATTGAGTGCAATCTGTGATGGACCACCAGCACATCAATTAGACCATGACACTGTGTGCAACATCGTATTTTCCYTAACACCTCCAGAYACCAGGACTTCACCACCTCCCTGRGCAGCCTAYTSYGATGTTTAACAACCCTKCCTGTGAWGAAATTCCTCCTGATGGCCAAAAAMAATCTCAGTAATCCTAACACGCAAAGCAGCCGTCCTGGGTTTGCCTTGAGTTTCCAAGATTGCCTTCTTCCTGGGTGAGCCCCGACCCCAAAACCTGGTCTGGAGCAGCCAGGAAGTGCGCTGGCTCCACTTGCAGGAAAACAGACTGATCACTTCGGATCTGCCCGKACAGACAGCACCCGAGGGAGCCGGGGTCTCAGAGGGGTGGAGAGGCAGAACCAGGCWAAAATAAGAGGTCCCTCCTCAGCTTCCCAGCCTGCTGGTCCTTTCCCAACCATCCCTCATCCACTACCACTGGAGAGGGCAGAGCACGATTGGGGCAGCACCGAGAAAACACAGGAGGCACCGCTCTGGCTGCCTCTCCCCCTCGGCGGTGTCGGAAACACGCCGAGAGCGTTCGCAAGGGCAGACCCAGGGCTGTGGGCAATGGCCCCGTCGGAGCGGAGCAAAGCACAGCGCCATCCCCAAGATGGCACCCGCCCACCCCACGGCGCGGCCCCCGCCACGGCGCGCGGGGCGGGCCCTGCGCATGCGCGGCCGGACCATGGGCAGGCGGCGAGCGGGGCCGAGCGTGGCCCGGGAGGTGAGGGGCGGGGGGTGACGGGTCACGGCGAGCTCCGAGTCGCGTCCTGGCTGCTGGCCTTGAGCGACGGCCTGTGGTGTCCCTGCTGCCGCCGAGCGCTTGGGCCGGTGCCGTGAGGGTGTGTGCCCGTGGGGGTGCTGCGGCGGGCCGTGGCCCTCAGCCCGGTGTGTGCGTGCGGCGGGGGAACTCAGCCGAGTGCTGAGCCCAGTGATAAACCAGTAGGTGAGGGGCGGGTAAATCACACGAAGAGAAGGGGGAAAGGCTCGGTTTTAAGAGTGCACCTCCCTTCTAAAGCTGCCTTTTTAYTGTTGCACTCGGGTGCTTTGGCTCTCTATCCCTCACTGAAGATATTTCACCTGTGCTAGTTGCTCGGGTATGACTCTTCTTGAGCAGGGAGGTGGGAGCAGATGACCTACTGTGATCCCTTCAAACCTTACTGATTCTGTGATCTCCTGGGTGGCAGGAGGGTTGTTGGTAAGCTCTGTTGAAGCTTTGTGTTTCTGTTAGCAAAGCGAGTCTGTTAACAAAGGTCTCTCTGAAGTGTACATCTTTCTGKCTCCTGCACTGCACAGTGCAGTCTGGACTGACTTGGAGGAAGCAGTGGAGAGCCAATACACAGTTAAAGTTTGTGAGYTGTGGATGCAGTGGGGACAGCAAATCATGAACATTCCTCACGAATGGCTGAAATGGTGCAGAATCGATTCAGTGAATCTCACTGGTCGCTTCTCTGTCCTGAAGTCTTTTCAGGTGAGCACATGCACAACAGACCAAAATAACCAGAGCAGAAAGGCCAGGGAAATGGCAGGGCTYGCCATATATGTGTTACCAGCCAGTAACATAAAAGTGAGTGTCACAGAATCCTTAGGGTTGGAAGGAACCTCTGTAGATCATCCACTCCAATTCCCCTGCCAAGGCAGGGTCACCTAGAGYAGGTTGCACAGGAACAAGTCCAGGTGGGTTTTGAATGTCTCCAGGGAGGGAGACCCCACAACCTTCCTGAGCAGCCTGTCCCAGTGCTCTGCCACCTCCAGTGGAAAGAAGTTCTTCCTTGCGTTGAGGTGGAGATTCTTGTGTTTTAGTTTATGGCCATTGCTCCTCATCCTGTCACTGGGCACCACTGAAAAGAGTCTGGCACCACCCTCTTGACACCCACCTGAGACATYTATATGTCTTAATGAGATCCCTGCTCATCCTGCTGGGTCAAATGAATGGCAGTTCACTTTATAGTTTTCTGGTTTGCTTAATTGTTTAGGCTTTCATTGGAGAAACAGACTGTTACGGGGACTCTATTCCAAATATAACCACCAAAGGGAGTCCAGCAGGGTGTGCTGACTGTCCAGTCTTCCTTTGGTGAGCCTGCCAGGGAGAGTTGAATAGTCTTTTTGTTGTGGTTTGAGAGGTGACAGGCAAAAAGAGCTGAGATGGTAGGCTTTACCTTACAAAAAGAGAGATGGCAAAAAGGCTCAGCCTCTTAGAGACCTGCTGTTCACAGAATGAAAAGGGACTGATTTTAGCTACCACAGAAAATTCTTGCAAAGACTTTGAGGATTTGTAGTAGTTTTAGATTAGTTTTTTAGGGAGTGTTTTAGAAGTTTTCATGATAGAACATACTAGTTTTGAAAGGATTGTAGAACTTTTGTAGCTCTTTTTTGGTGTGTTACAGATGAAAATGTCTCAGTGCAAAGATACTACTACAAGATATTTTTTTTTCTCTTGGAGTGATGAGAACGGTACTGAAGAGAAGTTACAGAGGAAGGAAACAAAATCCTTTTAAGCTAGAGGAAGAGAGGGGTGTRTTTCAGTTTGCATGACAACCAAGATACTTGTTTCATCATTTGAACTTTTGTTTTGTTCTATATTACCTTTTGAGCTGTTACGATTGTAAACTTTTCAAATGAGCCTTAATATGACATGATGCATGACTATCCTTGAAAGACCTCATCTAGGCAGAGTCATGCTTGTTTAACTGAAGTCATGATGCTAAATGAATGCAATTTTCTATATGGACACTTATCAGATTAGCTTGCACTTACAAATTGCAGATGTAATTGATATGATCTGGTTTAAACAGATATAAATGCGTCTCCATAATGTTGTGGTGGTTTATATTCATGCCACTTCTCCTTTCATACAGCTCTAGTCTTTTGACAGGCAGCCCTGTCGCCAATGCTTAGCTACATAGGGCTTTCTTGAGGAAACTCATCAGGAAAAGAAAACTGGGAAGACTGGTCCATTTTGTAGCAAAATAGTGAAAATGGAATGAACTCAAGAGAATTGACACAGATGATCAAAGGTGTGCAAAACATCTATGCAAGAAATGCTACCAAGCATTCCTGTGTTCACATCTCTGCGCAATACTGCAAAGTCTGGGCTGAGACAGGATGCATTGACTAATGAAATGGTCCCTGCAAGGCTGGAGGAGGAGGTGTAGGTAGGATCCAGCCTTTTCTCCTTTAGCATCACACAGGGTAGTTCTGCAGGAGTCATCTTAGACCTTGCTGGTGGATCATCCTCTGCTGTGAGCAGCTTATCTGGTAAATATTTCCAAGCATGCAGTGGGCAGAATGTCTGTGAAATTATTTTCCAACCTGAAAAATTATTTTAAGAGCATGGAGAAAATGGAAGTGTGTCCCTGAACTGCAAGTTAGCACTTGAATTTAAACAAAATTTGTCTCTGCTGGAATGATTTTAATAATCCAGCCAAATTTGCGGATGCAGGAACCATTAATTCTTCTATGAAAAGAAGGGCTCAAGTGTGCTGGCAGGTGACAGGGCATGTAGGCTGCTCAGGGAGGGTTTTTTTTTTCTTTGCCCCCACCTCTTCAGTTGGYTTTGATCTGTTTTATGAGGGTCAGAAGACTAAAAGCTCATTACCTAATGCTGTTGGATGTCGACGTATGCGTGATATGGCTCTTTGCCAGTATCTTAATTAGGGACTTCATAAAAGCAGAGGGTGGATGCCAGTTCTTGAAAAGCGCTTTTAGCCTTTCTGCTGGAAAGAAAGCTTTCATTAATTCATTACAAAAATGTATTAAATGGGATCCAGCTCAATTCTATAAGCAAAGCTGCTTCTCTTTCACTTCTCTCTTTGTGTCTGCCTTTATGTGAGCCATTTTGGGCTCTCTGCCCAAGATGGTCCCAACAAATGGAATTTGTAATAGACATGTAAGCCAGTTTGGATTGATATCCATCCCAGGTCTCTCTGGTTTAAAACGGTTTCCAAATCATGAACAAGTGTTGCCAGAATTCAACAAAACTAGCTCAATGCCTTGTCATACCTGAGGAGCAGAGGAGGCATCTGGTCTTAGATCCCTGTGTGCATCCAAAGCTTCTGGGATTTGACTTTCTGGAGTGTCTCCTGAGGAGCTTCAGAAGGACAGCTCTCTGTGCCAATACCTGTTGCCTGGACATGAGGCACATTTCATTCCCCTTTTTTAACTGGAACTACTTGAAGATGTTGCTGTGAGTGAAGTCCTGTGTCCTTGCAACCATCTGTGTGAACCTGAGGAGTTGTCATGTTCTGACTGCTGCATTACAGCTCTGTCCCAGTGGATCCCCTTCATGGAAAGGAGAGCTCAAAGGAACAAGGGTTTATCTTTGCAATGTAGGAGGCACTGTGCTGAGATTGCCACTTAAAAGATAAGGCAGTGTGAAGTGCAGGGGTGGTTCAGCTAAGTGAGCTTGGCTCTTTGTTTTCTTGTGAGCTTCCAGTGTACATGAGGTTAGTTGGTATGTATGATTTAGTAGGAGGGAAGGCTTTCCATCCACAGCAAGCTCAGGTGAGCACCTGCTTCTGGGATTGCTCTCCTGGAGAGCTAGCTGCAGCAGGGAATCRTGCCAAAGCTCTACAGATTTTCTTGTGCTACAGTTTTACAGTCTGTGGCCCCCCTTGGAGTTTCCTCAGCAGCACAGAGAATAATCAGTAATTCCTAGGCATTACTCTGATTTTTCACTGTGCTTATTTTCTGATTCTGTCTTCCTTTTGTCCTGCAGTGAAGAGTTACTTGGATAGCTGAGTTGCTGAGAAACTCCTGSTTTGCAGGAGCAGATCCCAAATGGCAAGCATGGCAAAGGTAGTGACATACCAAGATGCTGCTCTGCCCATAGTTGGCTGTGGAGGCTGAAAGCTGGCATTGCGGCCTTGCAGGTTATGAACCTGAAATTCAACCAGTAATAATGTACCCCTGAGATCTGGAAAAACAAAAGGGAGTCTGAAAGTCTGGATGGAGGAGGACAGGACAGAGGAGGACATTACCAAAGCAATGCGACTGAGTCAGCCTTGACTGTCTGTGGGAAAAGGAAAATGGAATGTTGAAGAAGAGCAGTCAGATAGGRCAGATGCCAAAGACAGAGCAAAATCTCGAGAATTAACGACACTGCAGCTTTTGCAACACACCAGTCATATGCTGATAAGTAGAGRAGGGGCTGCTAATTAGCCAATAGATAGTTGCCATTTATGCAGGAGACTTAGTATACACCTGTGGCTAAATAGATAAATGGGGCTCAGCCCCATAATAAAGCGGTCTGTCTTCTGTGTCTGTCTATGTCTTTATCTCATTATCTGTGTTGCGTTGTCCATCTCTACTGTGACATTTGAGTTGGTGTCTGAGGCTTCTTACTCAAATGAGCTGCCTTCAGAAGGCAGATTCTATTGTCCTTATAAATTAGGACAGTTTATAARTGGGGAAACTAAGGCAGTGAACGGATAGCATCTGTGAATCCTCACTGTTGTTGTTCCTTACAACCCCTAATAACCCAGACTAGCCAGAAGAAAAGAAGTAGTGGGATTCTGAAAGAAAAGTATTTTGTTCATTCAGCAATATGTTCCTCCTTTTTTTTTTTTCTGATTATTTTTTTGTCCCTTGTGCCCCCAGCTCAGCAAAGCTGATGGTGCAGTTCTAGGGCATGTGGTTTATTAGCAAATTATTGCTCTCCAGCAGGGGACCCAAACTTGGATTTTGATTTAAGAGCAGTAAAACCAGTTGAAACTTTTAAAGCATTATGGGGAATCTGGAGATTTTTAGTCAGCAGAACGTAAAAGCCCTGACAGAGTTGTGCAGAATATACTTTCATACTGAAATGAGGGAGGTATGGACAGACAATGTACTAGTGAGAGCAACTGCAAACTGAGCAAGAGGAGCAGTTCTGGAGGACAGGATAGGAGTGCAGTGGCATGGGTAAGTTAGTGGTGAGATTGGCAGCTGACTAACCAAAGCTCTCATTAATAATTTACTTAGCATTATTTTTAAATGTATTTTCAAGAAACCATGGTGCAYTCTAATAAGTTAACTAGCTAAGGAGAAATCCGGTAACACGTGCTGAAGCATCTCTTGCTGTGTATGTAGTAAGGGGCTCCAGCAGCTAAGAGAGCAGAAAGAGCCATTTGCAAATGGTAGAAACTGATGAGGGAGGTGGTAAATCTTATATTTGAGGGGACCAACACCCCACCTCTGCTCTACTGCACTCTGCTATTAAATTAACTTGCTGATACGTGTGGTCAGAGCAGCCCTGGGTGAAGCTCTTTCTTGGCCCTGAAGCAGACTGGGGCAATGCATCATGCTGGCTGAGCTGTAATGGATGACATAGCAAGGAGCAGCTGGAGTTAGCAGTTCTTAACTGGCACAGCTGGAAATGGAGGAGGACAATTATCCTCATCCAGGCAAACCCGAGCATTGCCATACACAGAAGTGCTAYTCCATGAGCTTTGGGATCAGGTAAYACGCCTTGGTGCTCCCCTTAGGCTCAGGAAGCTGTACATGTGCCTCTGGGGAATTTGGCATCTCAACAGCACTGGCAGAGTTGCTTAATAACCCAGGACTTCAAAATTRCTGTCTGATAAATCAAAGATTTATTTGAGCCTTGTTGTATGTGTCCYCCTCCCCAGCTCTGCTGTGCTCTTTCCAGACTATTTAACTGACTGGTTAAACTTCTTTTCATGGTCTGCTTTATGTCAAGCCTCTTCTCCTATCCTGCTTAGTTATAATGCTTGCCTGCCTTTCCTGAGCAGAAGGTGTGAGATTGTTAATGAGCTCATTAACAGGAGCTGATCAGAACAGAGCTAATCCCAAAGCAGCAATAATTAGGGATCACTACCTTTGATTTTGTTTCCCTTATCACTGTTTATGGGTGTGTTTGTGCTCTGGGCTGCCTCTGAGGCCGTTGTCCAGGCAGCTCATTCCACCTTTACCCGGGACTGTTCTGCCTCTTAGCGTCTGGTGTGTGAAGGCTCCCACCACAGAGAGGCCATGCTGCCAGCCTTGGCCTTCCCTGCAGAGCCAGGCACAGCAGGAGTGCTGTAYTAAATACTGCTAAAGAGAGGTCTTTGCCACCTCAGTGCAATGAGGCTGTTTTCTTTCAGGTTAGGTTATTGTGTCCATATTATCTGATTAGTCCCACTGTTTCCCTGATGGAAGCAAACCTGAAAGACAGTTTTCTTCAAGATCTCTAAGCTCTGGTTGCCAGGCAGAAGAGAAGAATTATTCTCAGAAGAGTCATCCATGGTAGGATTCCCTCCTGGACAGTGTGTTTGCACACAAGGAAATCAACCTTCCAGTGCTTAGCCACGGTTACTCCCCTCCACAGGAATATACAGGAGTGTGGCTTTTGGGGTACTTGATGAAGAGACACAAGAAGGTAACCAGCGTTTTTCTGCATGGAAACGTTGCTGCCAACACTGGATACAGGTTGAAGGAGGCAGTGGCAAATGCTCTCTTGGGCATACTGTGCAGACTCCTGTTGCTGTTACAGATTTAGTTGGGGAAAAAGAGACTATCCCTTTTTTCCCCTCTCACCCAACCAGACAGCTGAGAGCACTCTGTAGTCAAATCCCATGAATTTCTGCATCCATTCACAGTACTAAATCAAGACCTTGTCACTCAGTCTTTGGTTTAGGCCAGTGTCTCTTTTTATCGTATAAAGATACTGTAGATCACATCTTTGCTGTGGACCCACATGGAAAGAAACTAGAACAGGCTGGAACAGGATCAGATGGTAGCAAAAAGGTGCTGACCAGCCACATAATTGACGGTGTCAGAGCTGGCTTGGCTGTGYCTGGGATGGTGATGTTAGAGTTTTGTGGGATACAATACAGGCTGATCTGGGAAATGATGAGCTCTCTGTGCTGTAATCTCTTCCCTTGATTTTGGGAGGAAGAAGATGGAGTGGCTGAGCTTTCACCATCTGAGTGGGAATGGGTCTGTGTAAGCTGAGAGAAGACATGATGGTGACTGGTGTGGTGTTTTTCAGATTGATGGACTGGAGGAGAAGCTGGCACGCTGCAGACAGAGCATGGAAGAGGTGGATCTTAAGCTGCGCAAGGAGAAGCTCAGCCCTGAAGGAAGGTACTCCTGTCCATCTTTCACAGCTGTGTCTATGCACATCAGCTGGCTGTCATCCTGCTGTAGGACCAAGCAAGGACTCTTGAAGGCGTATAAATATGTAATTTTCCCATGGCAAGATTCTCTTCCCCCAGCTTGGAGCTTTCTTGGGGAACTTGCCTTTGTGAGCAGTTCAGTGATACAGACAGAAAGCTCTGYCTTATTAATTGTAACTTATTAAGTCTGACTCCAGCCTGTGCCACAACCAGACAAGTAGTGCCTTGCCAGTTCATTTGCAGATCTGGCTCCTGGCCTGCTATGAACCAGCTCCATGAGCCTGGCAAAGGTTTGTTGCACACTGCTGCTCGAGCCTTCCCAAAGCCACCCGAATTCAAGCAGGGGAGAGRTGTAGCAGCTACTACTGAGCCAATCAAGGGTAGGATCCAGCTGCAAAAGTGGCTGAGGGAAAAACACAGGCTGAGTGCCTGTGTTGCTAAAGTGTCTGGATGTAGGGATGCACTGACACACTGGCTTTTCTTGGGAAAGCTAAGAGGGACAATTCCCATGGAATCTGTGGCTGCTCTAGAGGCAGGAGCTGTTGACTTCTAGAGCTGGGACTCAAGCAAGGACTTTCACCTGGATTTTGTAGCAGACACAGGCAGAACCTGCTCTTTCTCTTGAGCGTGAAGCAAGAGATCTTAGATCTCCCAGCTGATTCTCAAATCTCTCTGCTTGAGGACATTCTTTCAGTCACTAGCATTCGCCTGCTCCGCTCTTAGTAAAAAAGGCTGAGAAGCTCAGACCCAGGGAGTTGTCTGGATGATCTTGCTGTTTCCTTTACAGTACTGTCCTACAGAACCCCACTAGAAATGATCACAGCAGTAGTGATGTCTCTGTCCCCTGATRCTTATCAGCCTCAGTTTAATGTCTTTGTTAAACTCTCCTTTGCACTCCCCTTCCTCCTATACTGGAGTTTTATGTCCCCATCCATATTTAGACAGTGCTGTRCCTCTTCCTGTCCCTCATCACTTCAGCTCCTGATCTCAACAATCTTTTTTTAAGCCTAAATTCTCCTTGTTTACTGTCTGTATTCTTTATGTGGCACTTAGGTGGCCAACAACCAAACCTACAGTTGTGACAACTTGACAAGATGRAATTTATGATAATTTCTCTCTGAAATACAAAGCCTAGAGCAAAGAATTATGAATTGGGATTTTTGGGGCCATCTGTGAATTTTACAGCTTGTATGGAAATAGAAACAGAACTTCCATTGCCCTATTCCAGACCCATTGAAATACCTTGGAGGGAAAGTACCATGACCAAAATTATTGATTCAGTGCGTAGCACACAAAGAAGAGCTCTGCTTTCCCACTTTGAAGTTYAGTTGTCATGGTTTCTTCATGTCTCATTCTCAAAGCTTCTTCCCTTGACTTTTTTCACAAGTTTCTAAGTAGCAGCTCAGTCGTATTGGTAAATCTGTCTTCTYACTTCCTCCTGGCTGCTCTCCACCTTGCCTTTCCCTGATTTTCTTTAAGAGCCCTCTCCTCTCCTGCAGCTCTTGACGTAGCTTGCTTTCTTGCCCTCCCTTACACTTAACTAGCTGTACACATAGATTTGGATCTCTTTCCTCCTACAGGTTCTTGCCATGCCCCAAGGGGAGCAACAGTCTGTTACACTTGCTGCCTTCTCTGAACCAGGAGATAATTTGTTAGTGCATGTTTATTTATGTGCACAGTCAGAAAGGAGTGACCATGTCCTCACTATTATTATGGAAACACTGCTGCTTTCAGGAATTTTATTTTGGGTTTATATTTTAAACTGTATATTWATCACCTCATGCAGTTTCAGACAAGGGCTGTGTTGGCCTGACTTAGTCTTTACTGTTATTATCATGAGTCTTCAGTCTAATSACAGATTGTTTAACTGGTTGGTACTGGGCTTGGATTCAGCTTGTTTTCTTGCGTTCACCAATTTCTGTAAATTGRATATCCCTAACAAAGGGATACCAGCTTCCAGTATTAAGCCAGATRTGGAGACATGGGATCCTCCAGAGAGCATACAGGGACATGCTCCATTCCATAGCCRTGTCAGAACTTCCTGCCTCACCTGGGGGTAACTAGAGTAGGGGACTGACACACAGATCCCTTTCTAGCTGCTTGYCTACACTGCTGTCCTGAAAGGAGAGATAGGAAGCAGTTTGGGGGAAGGAAGAAATAATCTAAAATGCTGCAGCTCTTCTCTTTCACAATTGGGTATTTCTAAACTGTCACCTCTCCACCTTGAGGGGTGAGGGGCTCATTCTGTGAGCAGATATCCCCAGCAGTGGGGACAGTCTCTCTTCCATCATGTAAGCAATGAAATAGGCTGTTTTGTGCCTCGCAGGTAATGAACTCCTCTTCTCATTACAGAAAGTCACTGGAGAGAGAGAGAAACTTACTAATGACCAAAGCTGACAACTACGGTAAGAGCTTCATTAAAAATGGTCCCTCTGGGCAGGATGGGATCAGTGCTGCAGCTTACCTTTGTCTTCAAGCTCCTGCCACCTCTTGACTTCTGCCTTTGAAAGTAGCTTCAACCAAAGGGAGCTAGACTAAGGTAAATGTAGTCAGCATGTAATAGGCATCTGTATCCTCCTACTTGTGCTGTACTACTATAGGGAAAAAAATAAGCATCAGCTAATGAAGGGGAGAAAATGTCCCTTCCACACACCCCAAATTATCATTCTTTAGATAATCATAGCTAACAGATTGGCTCGAGAAGCTCTTAACATCCCTCCCCCTACCTTTTTTTTTTTTTTTCCTAACAGAGGCTTGCTAGGTAAGAAGGCAAGTGCTATCAGGAGTGTGGCAAATAGCATACCTTCTTTGGAGGAGGTTTTTTACTGCATCAGTTTCTGGGGCTGCTCAGCACAAGAGCATAGGGATTCAAACTGATAYGCCAGCTGCAGTTCTAGAGGACCAGGGTGTTTCCTTGGTACAAGTCCTGCTGCAGACAGTTAGAATGAGAGTCCCTCTGAGATACCACACTTGACAGCACTTCCACTAGAGATGCTTCTTTGCACACTAGAGATGCTTCTTTGCACGTCTTGAGGCTCCTGGTATTGATCTGTATGTTACCTGTTTGACAGTACTCTGCTGCCGTGCAAGCACCAGAGCTCATACAAGGGAAAGAGGCACAAGTATTCTTTTAGGTCTGGAGGGTTGAAAGCTGGCATAGGGTCAGCAAATTTGTAATTATAAGTCATGTTAGAGGACTGTTTCCAGAAGACTAACAGTTCCTTTAAACAGACTGAAAGCTGTTCCCTAAGGGCCTACCACTAGGGACAGTAGAACATTGCTGCCACCCTTTTACCAGCCAGCAGTCAGCCATCACTGCTGGCATCAGCAGAGTAGTCTGACAGCATYTCAGACAGCAGCAACAGCCTCACCTAATGGTAACATCACTACTATGGTCTCTGATTAAATCTTTCTTTATTCCAGCTGATGCACTTGAGGCCATGAACTGCAGCTGCTGACAATGCCATTGTCAGCATCAGTTTAAGCTGGCACTGCTGTGCATGAGGTTATGTGACCCTGTCACCTCCTTTGTGACSTTGCAAATTCAAGCAGGTCATTGTGTGGTTGCTTGTATTAGGTGATGAACGGGGGCAGAAAGAACGGGTTAAAGTCTTTTGATACCAACACCACTTGGGGAACTGCAGTTAGTGCTAACTGCAGAGGCAGTAACCTGTGCCTTCACTGCAGATGAACTCAGCAACACAAGCAGTTTGTCTCTGGAGACAACCCACACCCACCCTTGCCTGCCAAACACTGCTGTTTGGCCAACCAGTGTGTAAGGCTGGAGGCCCCACTGCTTCCTGTAGCACCCAACACAGTTTTGTGGTACAGAACTATTAAGAGTGGGGTTCTCATATTTGATAAAGGGACAGAGTAAAGCCAGACTCTATACTTTAAGGAGCCATTGTCTTCCTCTCTGCATCTGTGGTTCTTATGTAAACCAGAGTGAGGGAAAGCAACCTCTCTTGAAAAGGTTTCAGACATCAACAGAATAAGAGGGTCCAGGGTCAGACCTTTTCCMCACTGATCCTTCTGAGGCATAAAGAAACACAAATTCTGCAGCATTCAACTATGTGGCCACACTTGTACTTAAATTTTAGTACTAGAAAGCTACCAGGCTGTTACATCTAGAAGACAGTAGAAATAGCTCTCTGCCCTCCTGTCTCCCTCATTCTCTTAGGGAACAAGCAATTATTCTAATGACACAGTCTGTCCTTAGTAGAGGCCTACAGCAATGTCATTTGCAAACAGGAACTGGTCTGGCACTGATGTATTCCCAAGTACAGCTACCATGAGTGTTAGGATGAGAACAAATGAAAGGGTTCCTGCTGGTTTACTTCCTGTAAATTGCACATTCTATAATTGGCAGCTTTGCATACTGCTCCCAAAATCGTTGCCTGTGGCCAAGATATGTGCTTCTAACAGAGTTTTGAAAGCAGGTGTAGCTGCAACATGAAGAACTTTCACAAGCAAGGCTTTTGTTTGTTTTCCAGAGAAAGAACTGAGTGTGCTTCGTAAGGAAAATCGCAAGAATGCTGCCCTTGCTGTGGCCATGGCATTGCTGATTGCTCTTATTTACGCCTGCTGGACGATGTGATTGCACTGAAGAATTCTCCCTGCTGAACAAATGACTCCTGAAAGGAACTCTTCCTCCTCTCACCATTGTGCTTCCCCCAAGRGTGAGGATCAGCATTTCAAATTACTGTTCTTGTTTGTTGTCTCCAAGCCTTGTTGTAGGGAAGATTTTTCTCTGCAAATTGAGGACAGGATACAAACCAGAAATCACAGAACACTTGCACTTAGAAATCAGGTCAAGCAGAACTCACAGTGATGCCATCTTACCCAAAACAAAACAGCCAGCCTGATCCAGGACGGCAATACATTCTCCCTTTTGAAGCAGACCTCTGTGATGGCAGGTGCTTTCTGCCCAGCCCAGATGGAATACAACACAACCTTCTTGACTCCTGTGACAGTCATAAACTGAAGGGACCAAGCTCTTGCTTTAAAGGGTAATCTGTAGGTATCACAATTTTCTATGTTCCCAAAGGTGAGCTAAAGATGCTTCTTCCTTCACCCTGAGTTCCATGACCAAAGGACTCCTACCTCCACAAAAGCAGATGGGATGTAGGTATCTCTGAAAGTGGGTAGACTCAAAATTGTGATCTGGGTGCTTGGTCTGTGAGAGGATCTGCCTACCTCTTCAGTGCATCAGAGCTTGGTAGCTATTTTGTGCCTTTGAGAATCAGCACTTGCAGAAGACAATTTACTATCAGCTCCCAGAGATGGAAATGGTTCTGTACAGCTTTAAATAAAATTATCTGACCTTTTAGTTTGCTGTTCTCTTTTCTTCCCCGTTTTGTCCTGTTTCTCAACCACTCCTTTATTCTCATCCTCCTATCTCCTTACTGGCACACATTGCACCACAGTAAGCCTAAATTGGRTTAGGCACTTAACAGTGAATCCCCTGGTCAGTGAGGTCTCAACAGCAGGTTGGTTWCTGGTCTGCTGTGGCCTGGAATCTAATTCCTTTGAGTGGAATGGAGCCTAGCATATGGCAGGAGTACTAGAGACTGTTCACTGTAGTGCCCTCTCATTCCAATGCTCAAACTTGCCACAAAAGCCTTTAAAAGGGACTGCCTTGAAAATTTAACACTGCTGCGTATTTTGTGTTGCCACACTGACACATACTGCTGGCCAGAATTTTATGGGAACAAAGTAAAGAAGCACTGCTGTGAACTAAAGGGCTGTATTGGTAATAGAACATGAAAGCAGAGAAGTCAACACAAAATGATACAAAGCTTAATAGCAATACATTGTGCAATTAACATACATAAACACTCCCTTCAGCAAAACTTTCCTCACCTCCCCTTCTCAACATAATCCCTTAGCAGGGAAGCAAGTAGCCTGGTGGCTCATGCTTGYCTTATTGAAGGGAGATTCAGAATCAAAGTTCAGTGCATCAAAAATAAAAGCAAATTAAAATGAGGAACTAGAGACAACTGATTAAACAAAGTATCTATTCCTAAAAGCTAGCCTGCAGATTTACCAGATTTTTCTTATACCTTCCAAGGCCTACAGTCATCCTGGTTTACTCCCTAATGACTCTTGTCTCTGCCAACCCACAGGAGTCAAAGCCCTAACTGAGGGTGCAACACTCCACAAAGGAGCCTGGCAGAGGGAGCATCATGTGTTGCTGGCTGGCATTGGAATAGCCTCAAGGCAGTTCACAGAGGTCCTCAACTCAAATTGCTGGTTGGTTTAAAAAGCCAAGTGTACATAGGTCTGGACACCAGAGCTTAAGGTACTTTATTGCCCACTGGGAGAGATTCCTCTTCATCCCTCATGAAAGTGCCTTTGCCAAGACAAAGCTACCAATGACACATTTCTTGTTTAATGGGAAGGGCTACCATTTCTTTCATACACGTTTTACCAATGTTTGAGAGTAGAGAGGGTCTACAGATCARCCAGGAAGATGCATTAACAGCCTGCAGTCCTTCAACTGCTTTGAYAGACCTGTGTCTGAGTGTAAATTTTTATGTTTTGCTGCACTGGCTTGTTCAAATCATTCATATGGATGTGGAGAGAAAGATCCAGTCTAAACAATTGCTAAAGACTCTAGAACTATAGCTTTCCTTAAGGCACAGTTCAGACAAACCCCTAAATCACTTTTCTCCCTACTGCCAACCTGTGTTTAAAAACAAGCCAAGAACAAACAAAAATCAAAACAAAAAAAGGGGCTATCTTGCTGCTTGTTCAAAAGCATTCAACTTGCTGCTTGTTCAAAAGCATTCAACTATGTGTTATTTTCTGATTTATGTGGAAGACTTGGCAAAGTGCCATGGAAGCCAGAAGTGAGGGCAAAACATTCAACAGAAGCCAACTTCGAGCCTGGCACAGAAGTGCATGGAGAAATGCCATACTSAGAGTTTCCCAGCTCTGTGCCTTCACCTCAGATGCAGTTCCAAAGCCAAATGAGATACAGAGGACTTCAAAGCCACTCTGACATTTAAAAAGGGAAATCTGGTAACCTTTCCATTGGACAGAGTCAAGGGACAGGATTTCTTCTGATTAACCAACATGGTTAAAGTAGAGATATCTTTTTACTGAAGCCCTGGGTCTTTTTATCTAAGTTAGGCAATTTCCATCATTTCTTCCAAAGACTCCAGCATCCATCCTAGCTTTCCTATGTCTTCCATCCCACATCCTTTCCTCCCTRAAGGTTTAAGTAATAATGTCGAGTACCAAGAATCAAAGCGCCTTGGTCTCAAATACCATGAAGCACGTATACCAACCATGGTACATTTTCACAAATTACCCCCAGGATGCTGGCTTGGGATCAGTCACTAACCTGGAGAGGGGAAATCCTTGTCATGTGTGTGAGCACATCAAAACTGTGCCAGGAACTCTACTCATCACTGGCATTGGCCTTTGTCCAACAGGATACCATCACRTAAGAATTGCCAGTAGCTAGCTGAATGCCTTGATAAGCAGAAGTGTTGGAGACACCGACAAGAATATGTAACTTCTGTCCCAAAGCTCGCCAAAGAGTTCACACCCTCCRCTGGATGCCTTTGACAAGCCCAAGGAGACAGCTGCCAGGAAYGATGCAGGGCTGCTTCAATGTGCTTTTGCCCAGCTCTGCCATCAAAACATCTCTACTCCTTCCCACACTACAAAAGMAGCAGAAGCCTGGAGAGTTCTGGCACACACAGAGCTCCACAAACCTCGCTGGATGTTTGAACAGGAGCAAAGAAAGCTGCCAGACCCTTGGCCTCGTGCATGCAGTAGGTCAGGACAAAAGGACATTAGACCTCAGCTCCAGGAGTCACCTCAGATACTCCGGCAGCAGGTGCTACCTGGGCTGTACTCATATATACACTACCAGGGTAAAGCTTCATCCTTTGCCTTCTGCATACCACCCTCTGGTTTGATCATCTCCAGAAAATCAGCTCTGGAGAATACCAGGACAGAAGCTGTGGAGCYTTCCCAGTGTCATCAGTCCCTGAAGAATCCAAGCTGGGCTCAGTCCCCTCCTGCACTCTCAAGAGAGCAGGGTTAGGGGTAGTGTGCTTGGATGAAAGACAGGACAGTCTCCTTTGATAGCTTCTCTGGATCTTGTCTTTTCTGAGAGTCGTGCACTTTGACACCTTCCCCCCATTCCCAGAAGAGGCGGCTGWAATGGCAGACACTGTGGGCAGAGAGGAGAGCAAGATTAGTTTGGCAGAGAAGGGAAAGGAAAACACTTATCCCAGCCAGAGGCAACTGCCTTTGCAATGGGAGCAGTTGATACTTGAATAGGTGCCTTAGAAAAGACCAGTACACTCATTCATTCACCTTACAAACTCTGCAGCCCTCAAAGTACAGCAATGGCAAAGCCTAAGAGGTTTCCTGGAAACAAACTTCTTAATTCTAGCTTCACTCAAATTCAGTTCAATATTTGCTGGAAGGAGTTAGGTCACTAGGGGAAAAATACCTTCCCCCAAGTTTATCAGAGGATGGAACTGTCATTGCAGGCAATGGAAAGGCCTTAATGAAGAATTTASAAAGTCTGCCAGGAGCAGCAACCTAATCACTCACCACATACCTACTATAATCAGTAACAGCTGTCCTATGGAGCTTTGCAAACAAACAGCACTTCCCACTGTACAAAAGCAGCTAGGATCATTCCCTCTTTCCCCTCATGTGCAATAACTGAGYCCTGCTTAGCTGTTGAGAGTTCTGGCCCTACAATGCCATCTCCCACTCCATCCATCAAGGACAGCCCTCCCTCACTGTATCAACACAGTCCCAGCCATAATGAAATCAGAGTTGCTAATTACTGCCAACACAGCAACCCTTAGTTTTGTACAATTACTGACACTTAATATTCATAGCTTACTTAGTGCTTCTGTTCTAACAAAGCAGTACTAGCACAGTGACAAGAGCACATGTCAGTGGCTAATTATAGACATATTAGTACTCACTACACCACAACACATCCCTTCTGGCRTCCCACACATGCACTCCCTCCACCTCCTAAGATATTCCTGCAGGTCCATGCTGGCCTATTTCAGAGCACATAGGCAGAACTAACCCCACCCTGACACATGGAAGGAAAAAGCATCATGTGCCTCTCTTTTTAAACCTGTTCTGCCATTCACCATATTAAGGRAGGCTTAAGGATTCTTGAAAGCACTACTCTTTCAGATAAGGAGATTCAAAGGGACAAAATCAGAAGCCCTATTTCATATCAAGTTCTTGCTAGGAGGCACAGTCCTGGGTAACAGTGGTAGAGGGCAACTCTTGAGACTACCTGAGRGTAGGGTGTGCAGGCTCTACCCAGGAGCCCTGAGGTATCAGACTGAGTATCTGCTGTACTTAGGTAATTCCTTCAGCCAGTACCCAGTAGATACAGATGGTTTTCAGCAGCCACAGTGTTAATGACTGTCCAATGGTAAGCCACTCCATCCTTTCCCAAGGAGCTGCTGCTTTTCTCTCTCACTCTCTTTAAAAAAAAAAGCTCCAAGCTTCCCACAGAAGCTTGGGCTAAATGAACTGGGATTTGCTTTTAAATTAGTAATTTACAACCAAACATGTTAAATACAGAGATGCTGCAAACTAGAGTCGCTGGGCTCAAATTCTGCTTCCCTGTGTGCAGGAGGTCCAGTAACTGGTACTCTGCTGCAGATAGCAGAACAAAGTTGTGAGATGTTTGTTATTCATAGCCATTAATTACAAAATCCATGATTCCACATCAGCAGTTTCCTGAACGTCTGAGAAGGTGCCAGCTCCTGTAGCACACCCTGCTGGTGACGAGCTGTGCTTGCACTGCGAACGACTGCAAGGACATAGCACTCCTGAGCTGCCTTCCTACCCAGACACACACACACACGCAGATAGATACCTTTCCATAGCCTTAGCTCTGGCTTATACTCACTGAAAGGGTGCAATGGCTTCAGGAAGGAGGTTGTATGTCGCTACATTGGTCATTTTGTTGAAGAAGAATTTCTTCTTGAAGTTTTTGCTGTATGCCATTGTCCAGGGATCTAGTAGAAGGGTTACAGAAATCAGATAAAAAATAMAAGGGGAGAAAAATAATCACAGAAGAAATACATATACAGTGYAAGTAGGGAAGCAGAATCTGTAAGAATAAAGTGTGGTACTTCAATTACTCCTTTTTTTCCTTCCTTCTTCCAAGAAAACCTGCTTCCCAAGCTCTGCTCTAATCACCAAGAAAAACCCCATCTCACTGCATTTAGAAGTTGACATTTGAAACAGGGTATTTCCATGTYCTATTACTCTGGAAAATATCTTGATGAAAAATCATTACCTCCTTTAGAAAGA